TGACTTCTAAGGAGTCATATTATGTGAGGAAGAAGCCCAGAAGAGGAGGAAGAGGAAAGAAAAGGAGTCGGGAATGGCTCTTACTCAGGTAAGGTGATACTCTCAGTGGGTGGTTCTGTGTCTCCCTCCTTTCTGAAATGCCTGGCCCTGGAGTTGCTGATCTTCTCTGACTCTGACGTGTCCTGTCTGACATGTTTGCTGGCACTCATCCGTGCTTTCCCTCAGTCCCTCTCATCTCCACTTAGATTCCATGTCACCAGTGACATGATCTCGAGAAGAGGCCGCACTGGACACGGTCCTGGGAAGGGCTTCACACCCAGACGTGGGTTGGAGGCGGGCGTCGCCCTGTGTGTCAGTGCTGTTGGGCAGCAGGGACTGTTTGGGGGCCGCATCTGGATGCAGCATTCTGCAGATCAGGATTAGACAAGGTGTTCATGGGAGTCGCATATTAATGTGCACAATTATCTGCTGAATTCTTCAAAAAGAGACCAGGAAAGGGAAACCTTTTCTCCCTGATTTTATAGTACATTTGTAGTAAACATCTGACAGCAGGAGATTCTTTAAACCGTTCTCAGTACCACCATCCCTTGGAGAATGTGGAGTTTCTGCAGAGACTCTTGTGAAACATGTGTTTTAGATAAAAATGGTTATAATTTTGTTTAGGTGTCAGAGCACAACTTCTTTGTTATCAGAGAAGATGGGCCGTATTCTCTCTGCACCAATGGTTATTAAATATATATTTCTTTGCTTTAAACATCATGTTATGTATATGTTTATTTTAGGGTAAAACTCTACATAAAGATGAAGCTGAGACCCTGAAATGTAAAAAGCATCCTTCTTCCTGCCAGTCTCCCTCCATCCCTTCGCTGTCACTGGGAGCCACTGTTGTCAGTTCTGTGGCAGGAGTCAGGACAAGTCTCGTACAGCTTTGTTCCACATTGTTAGGAGAGTTTAGAGAAAATTCTTTATTGAATGTTTTATTGCAATACTCGATCCTGCTAGTTGTGAGAATTTATATGTCTTCATGTTATTAAACATGATGGCTTGCTCTTCTGCATCCTTACTGGAACATTCTCTTGAAAGAAGACACGTGGATCTTTACAGTTTTTCCCTGTTATAAAGAATTCCACAGTGTCTGCCACCGTGGATATCTGCGTCGTGACAGATCCCTGCAGGGTCCTCCAGGTTGGGCAGTTGATAGAGTAATGGCTTCTGGTAAGATGAGGCATTTCCTGCCTTGTTAGGTGTGACAGAATCCCCCTAACCTCCAGCTGCAAAGGTACCCTCTCCCACCCAGAATGTGTGAGAACTCTCCCTTATTTAAACAAAACTTGCTACTTCGTACTTTTTATATCTTGAAAAAATGGGGCATGTGATAATCCTTTGTATTTCCATTTTCCCATTTCTTCTGAGTGTGTGTAGGTTTCATTATTTTGTGGACATGTATATAAAGTAGATTTTCATGCTTTGCTCAGTTTTTTTTTTCACGTGTTACAGGATCTATTTTATATTCTGTGGTTTATATTCAGTATATATGCTCTGGTCTTTTTTTTCTTTTAGGTTGTACAGTTTTTAAGTGTGAAACAAATCTTTTATTCTTCATGCCTCCTGTTTTTTGTTGTGCCTCTGCCTGTTTCGTTCATACTGATTTGTTTGACCTTGCATGCTTATGAAATACTGTGTTTCATTTGGGTCTAAAGTTTTATTGTTCAAAATTTTGTTTACATCTCTTTAATTTGAATTTTCACATATATCTTACTGTAGGTATTTTATTTGGTTCATTGTAATGTTTCAGATGACAGTATATCTGAAGAGGTTCATGTGTAGTTCTACAAACCCCTTGATTTTCTTTTTCTTTTCAAACTCATGTTGGTTCTCCTTTGACCTGACATAGTCACATTCATTGAAGTCCCATACATTTGTTTTGTTTTCAGTGCCTCTGGACTGCTCATCACAGGGGTCTTTACGTCACCATATCTTCCAGTAAGAATTGGGTTTGCAGGTCTTGATTATGTCTTTGATATGTCTTTCAGGAAAATTTGTTTGCTTCTTTATAGCTCAGCAATGTTGGGTGTATTCATATTATTGTGTAACACATCTCTGGAAAGTTTTCATATTACAAAACTTACACTGTATACCCAGTAAACACTAATTCCCCCTTTGACCTCCCCGTAGCATTTGTCAAACATCTTTCTATGTTGTGTTTGTATGCATTGGACTTCTTTAGGTCTTACATATGAATGGAATCACACAGTAGTTGTCCTTTTGGGACTGGCTTATTTCCCTTAGCATAATATCCTCGAGGTTCATGTATGTTGTAGCATGTGACAGGATTTCCTTCTTTTTTAAGGCTGAGTAATATTCCATTGCCTGTATATACTCCATTTTCTTCATCCTTTCATCTGTAGATGGGCATGTTAGTTGCTTCCTCTTCTTGGCTACTGTGTATGATGCTGTGATGAACATGAGTTTGCAAGTATCTCTTCGAGAGCCTGCTTTCATTCTTTAATAGATACCCCACAAATTGGGATTGCTTGATCACGTAGTAGTTCTAATTTTTAATTTTTTGAGGGA